CTATGCAAGCCAACACGCTTCAAAGTGATCTTAATTATCATGGGAAAAATTACCATTGTTTTGTGATCTTTAAGATTTTTTTTGTCAAAATATTAAGAACTCTTACTGTTGCTTATAAATTATAGAGAAATGAAAAAATTAGTAAACCTAATATTTCTTTATTATGTCATAATTAAAAACAGAAATGTTAAGAATTAAAGTGTTTTATTTCTTTGCATAAAACTTATCATTAGTAGTTTAAACCATGCTTACCACCTTCTTCTTGTCATATAGTTTACTATACAGAGTGAGCATCTTTTCTATGCTGTGGCAAAGTGTCATACTTCTTTCTAAAGTTTTTTTTTAAAATTTTTTTGAGACAGGGCCTCTGTCATCTGGGTTGGAGTATAGTGGCATGATCACAGCTCACTACAACCTTGACCTCCCAGGCTCAAGCGATCCTTGAGTAGTTGGGACCATAGGTGCGTCACCTGGCTAACTTTTTTAGTTTTTGTAGGGTCTCCCTATGTTTCTCAGGCTGGTATTGAACTCCTGAGCTTAAGCAATCCTCCTGCCTCAGCCTCCAAAAGTGCTGGGATTACAGGTGTGAGCCACCATGCCCAGCCTCCTTTCTAAGTTTTCCTTTGTGCTTTCAATGTTGTGAGATATATTTGAGAGTTTCTTTAATGTGAATTTTTTGCTCATTTCATCTTCTGGAACATCTTCATCCTTTTCCTTACTACTTCCTTCCTTATTTGTATTCGTAAGTTTACCTTTACTAAGTCTCTCTGGATACTCATCTGGAGTTGAACAGTGGCAATGTCAACATTCCCATCACCACCCATTTCTTCTGTAACTCCACTGATCTTTAATTTGAACTTCACTCCTACAATTATCACTTTTTGTTTCTTTGCTTCATTTTATCTTTATTGGCAAATTCTATTGTCCATTTTTTAAAATGTCACATGGAGATAAGGAGGCAGCACAACTGCATACTTTGCTGTCTGTGCATAACTGAATAACTGATGTCCAGTGACCAGTCACCAGCAGATTACAAATGAAATGATATGCTTGGTCACTGATCATGGTGTGCATCTATTATTTGCATAGTAATTTTGTGGACTGAAAACCTTGCAGCAAAGCTTGTATTTATGCAATTACTCACAGTTAATATACTGTGGTAACTGAAATTTAAACTGTGTTATTGGGCGACTTGTGTTATGTGACTAAATGGTGTTAATTGAAATCTGTGCTGTGCTGTTGCCATGCCAAGCAAGGACTGTGCTATACTTATGCAATCCCTGTCCTGTAGTTAGCATCTAATAAGTAATAGGTTGTTTTATTTCTATCATTATCATGATTTCATTGTATTTTTACAGTTTCTATTCCTCCTTCTGAGCTGCAGGTCAAAAAGTCAACCCTAGAGTGAGAATCTGGTGCTGGAGGTGGCAGACAGTCCTGTGTTTTCAGCCAAAAGTATTAATTGCAATGTCTTTAATCTCAATTGAGGACCCAGGCCAAGGGCCAAAGGCTTATTGCCAGAGGCCTGAGAAGAGGTTCTGGGGAGTGCTAGCAAGTGGGCAGAACTCAATAGTAGAGATCCTGGGCAGGGACTGTTGCTGAGGTGAGGGAAACAGATGGTGTCTGAGAGGTCTGTTTACATATTGCAGGGCTCCAGCCATGGGTCTTGGCTGAAGCTATGGCCAAAGCATAGAGATGGCAGCTGGCAAGAGCAAGGCAGGGATCCAGGCTAGATAGAACCTAACCTACTTGCCAGAACAGGGAACTGGGCAAAGGAAGAAAAACAATTACAGCATATGAGACAGAGGGAACTCAAGTGCAAGACTCAGGTGCTGGGGCAATTGCTGCAGCTCAGGGAGTAGCAGGAGAGAGCAAGAGCACTGAAGCTCAGGGCAACAAGAAGATGACCTGCACCTGAACCACACCAGGCAAATGAGAGGGAATTGCTCCTGCTATGGTAATCCCTGCCCCATGTGTGTGATCTTGGAGCCCAGCCATGGGGAGACAAATGTGGCAAACAGACTTGTCAGCCTGACCCAATGTAGTAATTCATCTACTACTATTGAAGACTTCTTCCTTTCCTCCCAGGCAACCTTATCAGCTTTAATATATTATATCTAATGTCTTATCTAAAAGTAATATACTCAGTCAAGACAGACCCAGTTATCAAGAAGAAATAAACATCTGACCTTCAACGAGTAAGAAACAAACATGGAATAATAATGACTCAGATACATGTTTTGTTGACAAATGATACCACAAATATAAAATGCATGTGAAATGCATACATATTGCTGGGGTTGCACTCAGGCATGTAACTAAATCTAACCAAAGTTACTTGACCACATAAGGGTTTATTTTCCTCACATAGCAAGATTTTCCATAAGTAGTTCGTTCAGGGCTGCTGTGGTGATTCTCTGTGCCATCTTTAGCACAAACCAGGCTGCAGAATGGCACAGTGCCAGGGACCCTATTCACATCATGCAAGGATATTTTCCATTTACTTCTATAGATCTACTCTCCAGCCTTTAACCTGTTCAGTGCCCTGAGAGGCTGACCTAAATAGATTATAGAACTTGAGCTCCTTGCTCTCTGACTTCTAGTTGGATTTGGCCAATGGAAGGCCTGCTGCACCTGATGGCACATAATTCTGGAAGGGCAGTGGGAAACCCTGAGCCAGGAGTGGTTATCTTATTTTCAATCATGTGTGTGCAGTGAGTACTTACAGCACAGTATGCTGTGCTGCCCCTGAACCTTCTGACTTCCCAGAGGTGACCAATGTTTCAGCTAAAAAAGTTTAGCTAAATGTTTGAATAGTGTTGTGCTTTAAAATAAGGCACAACTTTCTAAGCATGGTGGTGCATGACTAAAGTCCCAGCTACTCAGGGACTGAGGAGAAAGGCCCAGGAGTTTAAGTCCTCTAAAAAATAATAATAATAAATAAATAAATAAAATAAAGTACAAGATGCTAGGAGTAGAGAGAAGAGGAATGGCATAATGTCAAGCCTCTCCAGGAGAATAGACACACTTGCTGGATTCTGTGAGGACTTTAGAATAAGGGTAGATAAGGGATCACAAATTCAGTCAATAATTCTGCACAAGCAGCAATATGATGCTGAAGGATGACCAGTGTGGATGCCACTTAACCCTACTCTTGCAGCCCCAGATCCTAGTATTTGAAACATGTCTCAAGAAGGAAACGCTTAAGAAGTGCTGAATAAGAATTTCAACCCTGGCTTCATCACTAACTTGCTTTGGGAACTTGGGCTTTAATTTGCTCAAAGCCTCAGTTTGCTCATCTGTAAATTGGGGCAAATAACATCTGCTCAACTTACCTGCCAGAAATGTGTGCAACTAAAAAGAAATAGAAGATATGAAAATGCCTTGGCTGTATTCAAAGTTCTATATACATGGAAGATATTCAGGATCCTCCCATCTTCAAAGTTTATGTCTGAGAAACCCCTATTAAATCCTTTAGGGGAGAAATGCCAGATATAGGTGAAGGGGAGGAAGGCAGCAAATCACACTGCCATGTGCTTACCTATGCAACAATCTTGCATGTTCTTCACATGTACCCCAAAACCTAAAATGCAATAAAAAAAATAAATAAATCCTTTAGAATGGAATTGCTCAATATAGTAGCCACTAGCCACATTGACTTTTGAGTACTTAAATGTGACTAGTGCAACTGAGGAACTGAATTTTTAATTTTATTTAAATGTAACTAATTTTAATTGAAAAACTGATACTCTATTCAGTTACTAGAAAACTTTTAAGTACACTTGGAGCAATGTGGATTTGTAAATTGACTTTTTTCCCAGTGTTTTTTTCTAATTTTTTAAACTGATACATAATAGACATACAAATTTTGGGTGTGCATTCAACCATTTAATATTAATACATTCATATAATTTGTAAAGATCAAATCACTGTAATTGGGATCTTCATTACCTTAAATGAATCTACTTTTTAAATGGTAAATTTTATAAAATCTAAATGTATGTGAAGTGTTTCTGTTTAAATTTAGTGTGTGAACTGAGATGTGCTGCAAGTGTAAAATACACACCAAATTTCAAAGACTTAGTTAAAAAAAACACTGGGAAGGGTAGGAGAAAGGGAGTGATAGGGAGAGATTTGTTAAAGGTTATTAAAGTATAGCTAGATAGGAGGAATTGTGTTCTATATGGCTGTAGTATGGCCATAGTTAACAATAATATGTAGTTTCAAAGAGCTAGAAGAAAGATATTGAATGTTTCCAACATAAGCATCAATATTTGAGATGATAGATATGTTAATTGCAGTGTTCTGATCATTATATATTATATATATTGAAACATCACTACGTACCCCACAAATATGTACAATTATTATATGAATATGTATCAATTAAAACAAATTAGATTTAAAAACAAAACAAAGAGAATATAAAACATCTTTTTAATAATGTTTTATAATATGCGTTGAAAGTATATATTAGGCAAAGTAAAATATATCCTTAAGATACATTTTACCTCTTTGTGCTTTTTTCTTAATGTGGCTACTAGAAAATTTAAAATTATAGCCAGATGCAGTGGTGTGCACCTGTAGTCCCAGCTACTCAGGAGGTTCAGACGGGAGGATCGCCTGAGCCTTGGAGCTCACAGCTGCAATGAGCTGTAATCATGCCACTGCACTCCAGCCTGAATGACAAAACGTCTACGCCTGCAATCCCAGCACTTTGGAAGGCTGAGGCAGGCGGATCACCTGAGGTCAGGAGTTCAAGACCAGCCTGGCCAACATGGTGAAACCCCATCTCTACTAAAAAAAAAAAAATACAAAAATTAGCCTGGCATGGTGGCGGGTGCCTGTAATCCCAGCTACTTAGGAGGCTAAAGCAAGGAGAATTGCTTGAACTGGGGAGGCGGAGGTTGCAGTGAGCCGAGATTGCACCATTGCACTCCAGTCTGGGTAACAGAGTGAGACTCCATCTAAAAAAAAAGTAAAATTACAGTGTGGCTTGCATTTTATTTCTGTTTGAGAGCACTACTTTAGAAAGACACAGCGAGCAAGGAGATCCTTATATCCTTATAGGAATTAGGAATAGGGGCCTTTGCAGAAATAAATTCTGTGATCCGAGACAAAGTGCTGGTACTGTCTCCTGAGTCTGAGAACCCAGGGCAGAAATACAGAACAGTGTGGATTGCTATTGAGGTCAGCTCCCAGCTCCCTGCCTGATTCCTCTCTGATTCCTCTTTTGTTCAGGCACAAAAATACTCCATCTTGAAACTTTTGTCATTATTGCCTTGGTAGAAGGAGACCACAGTTGTTACCTGGGTTTTGATTTGGGGATAACAGCATTTCAGTGACTAGATTTCATGAGAAGCTAGTGGTCATGAAGATTCTCAAATCAGCATGAACTTTATTTTTCATTTGAGTTCTTTCAAAGTTTGCCTTTGACTCAACGTGTGGTAGAAAGTCACTCTGCAAGCATTTGCTCTTCTCTGGTTTTGTGTCTTTTCCTTCAGAACAGCGTTGTTTTGTTTTAATGTTTTGCACGTAGCCAGAGGAAGTCTGGCTCATCCGAGCCGGCCAGCTGAGCACATCTGGAAGTGGTTTCTGGGACCGCCCCTCTCTGCCAGCGCTACTCCTGAGTTCCCAGCGGCTTCGCGCAGAGGTGGAAGAAACCCAAGCCGCTCGAAAGTCAACGCAAGCAAAGTGGGGTGCGAGTCGGGGAGGAATATTCTTTTGGAAACGTAATATTGGCCTTGGGGCTCTCCAGCCCTTTGGGACTTCCAATGGGATCTTAGAAGCAGCCGATGCAGCGTGAGGGCAGCAGCCCAAGGCCAGCCACGATTTGAATGCTCTGCCTTGCAGCTCTTCTGGACCGAGGAGCCCAAAGCCCTACCCTCACCGTTCACCAGGTAAATAGAGAAATTTACAAGCAGCGTGCATTTGTTCCATTTCTGCTGCAGTTCTTTATTCTGCTCCAGACCCAAGAAAGTAAATCAGAGGTGTCAGATCGCCCCACACGAACTTCGTCTTCAGAAACTTCCTAGTCAGTATTTGTAGCATTCCAGTGGAGCCCTTTTCGGCCATTTCCATGTGCAATATTTTTCACAGACTGGGCTGCTTTTCCAGACCTGGGTTTCTCCTCCTTCTCCCCCAAATACTGTAATTTACTATTTGTATCAAATTTTAAAGATAGAAATCAGCAATTAGGGCATGGATGAATGCTAGCCGTTAGTGAAGGTATGTTCTGAGCCACAATTAATTTAACTGAGCTGTGATTCATGTTTTCAGAATCTGTCTTAGGAAGCTGTTCTGAGGATCTCCATCCCCTCAGGAAGAACTGGCCATTGTGGAAATCTAAGTGAGACTTATTGTAAATATAGTAGTCATGGTGTTTAGGTTGAAATGCTTTTTAAATATTCAAAAAATATCTTACATTTACTTTATGAGCAAGTGTCACACATTGGATAAGCCTGATATAGCCTAATATATAATTTATGAAATAAGAAGGATAGTTAACATGAGAGTTAAAAAAAAAAAAGAGAGAGAGAGAGAAAGAAAGAAAGAAAACATGGTGATATCTGAACATCTGGATGTGCTTTGGAAAAAAATCAGTCCTCTCATTGTTTGGCCCTGTGCAGCCAAATATCCAAAGTGATATTGGTTGGTTTTTGTCTTTTTGATGTTGCACTTTTGTGTAAGATCCTTTTTATATGACATAATGGAATTCTAGTTCTGCCTTTAATGCACTTAGAAGTAGAGCTGTGCAATGAAGTGGTAAGAACATGGACTCTGGGTCAGGCTTATGGGACTGAATCTATGTGCTGCCTCTTACACACCTTCTAAGCTTGACTCCGGGTGATTTGTTTAACTTTCATGCACCCTAGTTCGTCATCTGTAAAATGGAAATTAAATGACATAATATCTATAAAGGACATAATACAGGATCTGCAATGTAGTGAGGCCCCAGGAAAGGTTAGCTTCTCTGATGGTGCTGGTGATGGCAGTGGTGATGACAAAAGTGACCATGTACCCTGTGTTTGGCAACACCTCTGCTTTTGACACATGGTTCTCTCTGACAGTTCAGTCATCCAAGTGTTCCTCATATCCTCAAATGCCATCTTTCCAGGGCTTTGCTTTGTTCCTTCAAATACCTCTCTCTCTTTCTCTTTTTCTCATTCTGTCTTTCAGTATTTCTTCTTTGTGCTTCCTCTTTCCTTGCTGAGAGAAAGTGAGGTTCATTAAGCCACAGCCCTCATAGTTTTCATTTCCAGTTCCCAAGAAACATGATTCTAAATCCTTTTTAATTTCAGCATTTTCCAAAAAATGTTCTGAAAAACATAGTCCCATGGGAAACTCTGTTTCCTCTTAGAGAAAACTATATTACCCTCTTAGAGATCTCAAGGCATAATAGCATTTTAAAGATCCCAAGAAGTCCTGTAGTGGAGAAATCCTCTTAAGGTTGTTTAACACAACGATTTCCAAACAGTTGATCCCTCAGCCACTTTACCGCATAACATAAATTAACATTTCTAGGAGCACACGCTGAGATGTGCTATTCAGGCCACACTGCTGTTTTAATTTTGGTTCTTCTTATGGACATCCTATTTCATACCTTCCCTGGAGCTTATCCAAGGGGATATCTTGTTTTTCCTTCTCAAGTTAAGGACATAAGATTATCATGTGTGTTGTACTGGTATATAGAAAATCTGGCCTAAAGTGGAGATCAGAGGTCAGCAAACTTTTTCTGCAACAGGCCTGATGATAAGCCATATGGTTTCTGTGTCAACTGTTTGACTCTGCTGTTATAGTATTAAAACAGCCATAGAGAAAACAAAAAATAAGCATGGCTATGTTCTAACAAAACTTCATTTACAAAAACTAGTGTCAGGCAGGATTTGACCCAAGGTCATTGTTTGCTGACCCCTGATCTAAAGGCCTTTAGTGAAAGGATTTCTCATGCCAGCACAGGAGAAAGCAAGACAAATTCTTTATAAACTGAAGACTGTCTTGTCCTGCTCCCCTAGTGCTATGGTCTGAATGTTTGTGTCCCCTTCAAAATTAGTATGTTGAAAGTCTAACCCCAAGGTGATGATATTAGGAAGTGGAGCCTTTTGGGAGGTGGTGAGGTCATGAGAGCATCATCAATGGGATTAGTGTCCTTATAAAATAGGCCTAATGGCTGGTCACAGTGGCTCAAGTCTGTAATCCCAGCACTGTGGGAGGCTGAGGTGGGCGGATAACAGGGTCAAGAGATTGAGACCATCCTGGCCAACATGGTGAAATCCCATCTCTACTAAAAATACAAAAATTAGCTGGGCATGGTGGCATGTACCTGTAGTCCCAACTACTTGAGAGGCTGAGGCAGGAGTGAACTGAGATCATGCCACTGCACTCCAGTCTGGTGACAGAGTAAGACTCTGTCTCAAAAAAAGAAAAAAAAAATAGGCCTAAGATAGCTGGTTCACCCCTCCCCCCATGGAGGACACAGCTAGAACATGCAATCTAGAAACCAGAAAGCAGGCCCTTAGCAGTCACTGAACCTGCTAGCACCTTGATCTTGGGCTTCCCAGCTTCCAGAACTATAAGAAATAAAGTTTTGTTGTTTAGAAACCAGTCAGTTTGGGCAGGCATGATGGCTCATGCCTGTAATCACAGCACTTTGGGAGGCTAAGGTGGGAGGATCTCTTGAGGCCAGGAGCTCAAAACCAGACTAGGCAACATAGCAAGACTGTCTCTACACAAAATTTTTTTAATTAGCTGGACTTGATGGTGGTGTGTGCCTGTAGTCCCAGCTACTTGGGAGAATGAGGTGAGAGGATTGCTTGAGCCCAGGAATTTGAGGCTGTCGTAAGCTACAGTCATGCCTGGATGATAGTAAGACCCTGTCAAAAAAAAAAGCCACCCAGTTAGTGGTATTTTGTTGCAGCTGAGTGAATGGAGTAAGACACCTGTTCTATGTATCTTGGTGGATCCTGATTAAACCTTTCATGTATAGCAAAAAGTTAAAAGGCAAGAGATATTTTGTTAGAGGCTAGACTCCTGGGTCCTGATTTTGTCCTTTCTCTTTCCTTCAGTGAACCCTTACTCTTGTCCTCTGTTAAATATGTTCTATGCATTTGAGAACTTCAAGGTGAAAGTCTTGAGAGTTAACTCACAGAGATATGTCAGTTGCTTGACATTGTTAGCAGCTGTAGCAGTGGAAGTGGTTGGCTGTAGTAACTATCAAGGTGGTTAAGAATGTGAACTCTTGGGAGGCCGAGGCGGGCGAATCATAAGGTCAAGAGATAGAGACCATCCTGGCCAATGTGGTGAAACCCCGTCTCTAAAAAAAAATACAAAAATTAGCTGGGCATGGTGGTGCATGCCTGTAGTCCCAGCTACTCGGGAGGCTGAGGCAGGAGAATTGCTTGAACCCAGGAGGCGGAGGTTNCAAAGGCAGCACTGCCCTCGGGGGAGCGCTGGCCCTGGCAGAACGCAGCAGCCGCGAAGGATCCAGCCAGAGGATGCCGCGCCAGCCCAGTGCTACCAGGCTGCCCAAGGGGGGCGGGCCTGGGAAGAGCCCTACGCGTGGCAACACCTAGGATGGGGCAGACTTACCACACCACTGTCCCCAGCAAAGGCTACATGTTATCTCCTTCAGTCGATAATAAACCTTTCTGAGATTTAGACATTCTCCGCTGTTTTTTGACAATATTAAGGCACAGACTTAGAATAAGGTTTCTGTGCCTGTCCTGGTTGTGCCACAGGTGAACTAACCAGGTCCCTTCACCATGAACTTCCTGGACCTGAATTGGATTTTGAGAAAAGGTATCTGGATTACCAGGTCTTCTATAAATAGATGTCAACAAGCTTCATTTGAAATGAAACACGGGAGGTTTTCTACCAAGACGATCGTGTGCTAAGGGGCAAGGGGGCTGTGTGTGTGCACATGGAGGGCGAGCGCTGCCTTCCAGGTTATGGTGGAGCACTAGGGTCACCATGGGTGTGTTGTGACCTTCTGCAAATGCTTTGCACAACTCAGTTGACACTCCCCCCTTCTAAAATGTCGACCTTACACATTTGACCCACAGCTTTAGGGATTTTGTGGACAAGCCCCATCCACAGACCTCAAACACTTCTTGTCTCTTTTTAGCCAGCATGACCCATAAAGAAGCCCGAAAAACTGTAAAGTCAGTTGAAAACCTTGACTGCTTTCCTAGAATTTAGGAAATCTACACATTGAAAACTTGGCTTTGAAGCAACACTGGTTTCTCTGGGTTAAGTTACTTCTGTGGCAGCTCCTTAAGTATGTACGGTCCTGCTGTACCCAGCCCCATGTCTGAAGGGCAGGTTGGCACCCCACCGCTCCCCATGCAAGCTCTAGGGTCCCACCCCCTCCTGTAGGCAGCGGTAAGGAGCACAACACACAGAGGTCTTGGTTTTATACAGAACCTTTATTTGCAAACAGCTTGAAAGCAGCCATCCTGGGGGTGGTAGGGGAGAACCCACCACACCCTCCCCTCAGTATTCTTCACCTTCTTCAGCCTCAGCCTCCACGGAATCCACGCCCACCTCTTCATAATCCTTCTCCAGAGCTGCCAGATCCTCGCGAGCCTCGGAGAACTCCCCCTCCTCCATGCCTTCCCCCACGTACCAGTGCACAAAGGCCCGCTTGGCATACATGAGATCGAACTTATGGTCCAGGCGGGCCCAGGCCTCCACGATGGCCGTGGTGAGGAACCCCCCTTTTGTCTTCCCTTTTGATTCGCAGATAATTTCCTATTACTCCTACCTGTACCCGTGGCAGACATGACTAATCAATCACAGCACTCTTTTTTCTTTCTTTCTTTCTTTTTTTTACTGGCTTTGGATTAATTTTCAACCTAGCAGTCCCAATAGGCCATACCAGCTGATCAGAGCTGCCATGTAA